CTCGATCAAGATTGTGCTATGACATTTTGCTAAATAATACTGTTTTATTTTATAGATATATATATTGTACGAATAAGAGAGTTTTTCATTGCAACAAAATATAAAGTAATTTAGTTTATTTTTCAAAGGTAATTGAATGACAAATGTTTATTTTCTCTCTCTTCATATATATTTTGGTTTAATCGATTAAAACGTAATTGTTTATGTGTATATTTGTTTATTTTTTCATCAAAATGTAACTTATCATTGAATTTTATTAAAAATGAGTAGAAAATTTATTTCATAAGGTTTAATCAGATATTTTTTATTTAAATAAATGTGATATATGTCACTCTCTTTTTTCTTATTTATATTTTTTTTATTTAATAAAATTATTATTTATGTTTGTTTGGTTAAGTTTATCAACATGTAACTTATTATTAAAGACAAAAAAGAATAAATGGATAAATAAAAAAGAATAATTGGATAAAAGAAATGGAAATATTAAAGAAGAGAGAGGTAGCTCCATAAATACATTAATAACTAATTTTTTGTTTGTAAAAAAGTTGTCCAACTTGGAAAATTGTGGATCCTCCAAGTGCTTATGTGGCAAAAAAATTTTTTTGAATTGCCATAATATATAGTATAGATAGATATAGATATAGAAGATAGATAGATAGATAGATATAGATAGATAGATAGATAGATAGATAGATAGATACTTAAGAATAGTGGTATTTTGATATATAAATTTGAACTTGTACAATAATGGAGTTGTTAAATGTACAAGTTCAATTTGTACCACAAAAAGATTAAGGCCTTTATGCTATGGTGCAAGTTCAGCTTGTAACATAACGTAGAAATACACATTCAGTTTGTATATATAAAGAAACTTCTACAAAAATTGTATTTTTACAAACTATGCTTGTACAATAACGTTAAAACCAAAACACTAAGGGGTCGTTTGGATGGATCAATTGTAAAACGAGACAATTTGACCAATTGTTTCATTTTACAAAACGAGTCATTTAAACGAGTCAATTCAGATTAACTGCCCCACCCCAGACAATTGTAATTGGCTCAAAATGAGTCAATTCAGAATTCCCCAACCCAAATTGTTTCATCCAAATTTTCTGCTGGCAAACGGATCAATCTAGCACAATTGACTAAAAAAGAGACAATTGTGTCAGATTGATCCATTAGAATTCCTCATCCAAACGACCCCTAATACCATAAAGCATTGTAAAAATTCCTCGATTATAGCTCCTCTCAGTTTTCGATCTAAGATTATAGTGAGTATTCACATCTTGAAAAAAAAAGTATATAGTGGTAGAGTGAAGGCTATATTAGCTCCTCTTCCCTAAGAAGATATAGATTCAATAATGAAATATTGTTGTGTAATTTGTTATTTTCGATCTCTCCTCCGTCTGACTCCCGTCTGACTCCAATTAAAGAAAGAAAAACCTCCAACTTCCACTTTTACTTTACATGCAGACTGCTTTTACCGCACATCTATACTCATAACTCCTATAGTAATGCGGAAGGTGGCTGGGAGTGGGCGGCTGTTGCCTGGACTCTAATTGGGGATCCTGACTTGGGGGTAACTTAGTTTTGTTTTAAAGCTTTGTTGTTTGGTTGCCATGGAACTCGTTGGCCATCAGAGATCCAAGAGTTCTTGGCCCCCATGCATGATTGTCATGCCGGTGGCATGCCACCCGGTTGAACCTGGTTCAACCTGTGCCGGTCATGAAACCGGCATGACCGGTATGATCGACTTACGCAATTTAAGTTTAATGACATCATTTTAATGAATTTAGTGAATAAAAAAATTAATCTATTATTCATTTTATGAATGTAATAGTTAAAAGTTGATGATATTTGTTGGATTGTAACTAAATTGTCCACAAATATGTTTTATATACGATTGATACATTGGATATTAATTGTTTTCATATGTTTTTAAACCGGCATGAACCGACACAAACTGGTTATACCACCGGTCATACCATTCCACTTGCCAAACCGGCACAACGGTATAAACCGGTTTGACAATCCCGTGTGATTGTGGGTTGGATGATCGAGTTTCGAAGAGTTGTTTAGAGGGGGCTTGATGGAGTTTTTGAGGCTCTGTTTGACGCAGTGAGAGGCTAGGAGATGACTATTGGCGGAGGTGACTAATTTTTCATTTGCTTTTGTTTTTTGAACAAATATTGGATTTTCCCTTACCACACAAACCTGATGGGCGTGAACATCTCAGTGGACAGAGAAAGAGCTCCGTTTACTGGGTAGTGAGAGATCAACATAAAACAACTGTTTCATTTCTCTCTCTTTGCATTTCCCACCATTCTTCTTCTCGATTTCTCCCTCTTCTCTCTCTCTCCAATCTCGACTAACTTCGATTCTCTCTAGACTCTCTCGCTCTGTTTGGATAGAGGCGTAAACGTGGGGGGGCGTTAATTCTAGGGGTAAACGCCCTTCCTGATAAGCTTGCCCTTCCTGATAAGCTTGCACCTGTTTGGAGGGGCAATTCTACTGTTCTAGTGTGATCCCCAAAAGGGGGCGGATGATTGGAGGGGCAATTCTACTGTTCTAGTGTGCCCCCCAAATTGGGGCGGAAGTGGAGAGAGAAAAGCCTGAACGAATTACCAAAAAAAAACTGAACGATTTTTTTTTCATGAATGTTTTTTTCTATCTCTTTCCTCCGTCAAATCTGCCACGGTGTTTTCGTCTTCGATGAGAAAGAAACCCACACCGCCGTCGGTAACACCTAAAATACAGAATCCATAAGCCAGAATCAAGAAAAGCAGTCAATTGATACCCAAAAATCAGAGAATTAACCAAACAACAACATGCATGCCCAAAACTTACATGGATCTAGAATTCAGATCCTCTATCTCCTCTCGCAGGCGGCTTCCGATCTCCCGCCCTACTCATCGTCACTATTCTGATCTCCCCCTAAGAAAGATCGACGGAGTTGTGGGAAGATCGATCGCGGCGGTCGGAGTGCTTGGATTGATGAGATAGAGAGAGGAAGAAAGAGTGTCGGAGAAAACAGAGAAGGAAGATGGAAAGGCTGGAGAGATGAAGAAGATGGGGAGGAAATTAGTGAGAGAGAGAAGGAAATTAATGGATTTGGTCTTCTGGTTAATTTTGTCAACAAGGAAATTAGTGAGAGAGAGAAGGAAGAATGGAATTGGAAGAAAGGTTAACGCGGAGAAAGAGAAGAGATAAACGATGTGAAAATAAACAAACAATTACTTTTTTATTTTTATATTATTTTATTAATAAAATATTATTAATTAAATATACCCTCTTATTTGCACCTTCCTATTTTTTCTCTCAAACAACTATTTGCACCCCAATTTACACCTTCTTCAAATTTGCTTCCTCCTACAATTTGCACCTCAATTTGTACCCTCGAATTTGCACCCTTGTTGCCAAAAATAGTGTAAGTCTCAAGGTAGATAAACGTTTTTGCGGTGTCTAGGTCACGGCGGTGTGGGACGCCGTACCGAGGTGAAGAGCCCCTTTCACTTGCAGATTTGCTTCTAGGCCACACTGATAGGGGTCCGCAAGATTGTCATCGTCTTCGCCAGAGACAGTGACCAGAGACATCGAATAAGGTATTCTCTCTCCTTGATGGTTCCATCCAACTTTTTCTGCCTCTATCTCGACCTCTAGCTTTCTCTTTTCTGATGTCTTTGGCTTTTGTTCGATGCTTTTGAGGGAGATGCTATTTTTTGGAGCTAAAAATCGGTTTCCACTTCGGATCGATTGAGGAGGGGAAGAAATTGACGATTTATCGCCCTTTATGATGGCACCGGGAATGGAGGACGGAGGGGTGGCGGCGAGTTCATTTACGGTGATGCGCTTTGGAATGAGGTCCAATCTTTTCCCTTCTCTGCTCACTCTCTCTCCCTTTTCTCCTGAACTAGAAGGAACTACATCATCAGATAAGGGTTGTGATGGAGCTAACTAGCCCCCATGATTCTGGGAATCAGGAACAAAAGGAAAGTTAACAACAGGAAGATCAGGGAGATTCAAATCTTCTTCTTCTGTGAAAGACTTGTCCACCTGACCATGAAAAGGAAGAACGTCCTCAAGGAAAGTGACATCACGAGAAATGAACACATCATGTGTCTGCAAATCAAACAGTTTAAAACCTTTTATCCCATGTGGATAACCAAGAAAAATAGCTTGTCTAGCTCTGCTTTGGAACTTTGTTCTACCACTACTTAATGTGGCAGCATATGCCAGACATCCAAAGACCTTAAGGTGTCCCAGAAAAGGTGGAGTCTGGTAAAGAACTTCATAAGGACTTTTATTCTTTAAGACAGCTGTTGGTAGTCTATTAATTAAGTGAACTGCGTGCAGGACACAATCACTCCAAAATTCAAGAGGCACCCCTGGTTGAAACCCGAGAGCCCTGGCAACATTCAATATATGCTGGTGTTTTCGTTCCACTCGACCATTATGTTCTGCTGTGGCAACACAAGACATTTGATGCTCAATCCCATGTGCAGAATAGAAATCATGCATATGGAATTCTCTGCCTTGATCACTACGTATAACTTTAACTGGCTTAGAGAATTGTTTCACAACCATTGAACAGAACCCTTGTAGAAGAGATCTGGTTTCTGACTTATGTTGCATAAGATAAATCCACATAGCACGAGAATGGTCATCCACAATAGTTAAGAAATAGGAAAAACCATCATATGATTCAACTGCCAAAGGCCCCCATATGTCAACATGGATCAAAGCAAAAACATCCTTAGCAACACTGTCACTTAAAGGGAAAGGTAATCTCTTGTGTTTAGAAAAATGACAAGTCTCACAGTGTTTAACTCTCTCATTTCTAACTAAGGGATTACAAAATTCTAGCAATTGAACTTTCTGGTTGTTGGGGGTGTCCTAAACGCCAATGCCAAAGATTGATCTTCTGTGGTTGAAAATTGTAAACAGATGCAACTGAAGAACTGGGACAGTTTTCTGGACTTGATACTAACTGGTAGAGGCCCCTACTTTGTCTTGCCAAGCCAATCATCTTGGAGGTTACTAGGTCCTGGATAATGCAAGAATCAGATTGAAAGTTTAGTGAGATGGGAAGATCATGTGTCGGTTTACTAACTGACCCAAGATTGAAAGTGAAACTAGGTATCAGTAAAACATTGTGTAAGGGTACTCCTGTGGGCAATTTTACTGATCCTATATGAGTCACTAGGACCTTAGTACTGTTAGGTAGATAGACAAAAACATCATTGACTGGCTTGCAACTAGTAAACAGACTCTTTGAACACACTATATGATCTGAGGCCCCTGTGTCTAAGATCCATGAATGCATAAGGGTGGCAGAATGGCAATGAATGAATGATGATAGGATGAATTTACCAGCTGAGTTAGGAAACTGTGGCAACTGTTGAGATGTAGAGAAAGCAGTGACTCGACTCTACTGTCACTCCAGGAATTGGCCAAGTGAAACCACTTCCTAAAGCGTAGTATAGAGGGTTTGGGTTTAATTATCAACCCGGGTCCTAGATTTGATGACTACTCAGTGAATTCTTGTTATCTAGCAATGAAACTTTAATGCAAGTCTAAACTAACAAACTAACAAAGCAAGTAAACAGTTGTATTCAGGTTAAGAGAGGTCACCTGGATATGGTTCCCCCTAGACTGCAGTTAAGCCGGATTGTAATTACCAAGTTCAGTTTCTATGACAGTTATACTGCGGAAGGTTCTTAAACAGCCTGAAGTCTCGACTAAAGGTCTTCAGACCCTCTCAATCTGACTCTCTAGCAGGCGACTAACCTCCACCGGAGTAAACAGATTGAGGCCCTAAGAACAAAACCTCCACTACCGGAGTAAATCCGGTACAGAATAGTGAGTTGGCTCCTCGACTAAAGTCACCAACTCCCTACCTTCAATCAAGGATACTCTATCAACCTAGGCAGATATTCTCATTCTAGGTCAAAGCAGAAACAACAGGAATTTGATCAGGATTCAAGTCATTCAATCATTAAAACCTCAATCGAATATAATCAATCACAGGATCAGTACTTGGGTTCATACAATCAAAGCCTAACATACAAATCTAGGGTTCTCCATACCCAAATGAATGGGAGAACTACTCCATAGAGAAGAAAGCAAAAGCAGAATCAGACACGGAATTCATACTGCGAAGGATGGATTCCTGCTTCTGGACGTTGATTGGCACTTCTCCAAGCTCAAACTGGCCTCCAATGGTGTTGAAGATCAATCTAGGGCACTTGGGAACTCTTGCTCGTCACTTTCTCTCTCTAGAAACTGATCTCTCTCTCAAAAACTCGAATCCCCCTTGAATTGTGGCTGAAAATCTGCTTAAAAGCATCAGTGGCCAAAGCACGGTCGAGGGCACGGCCGTGCTTTGCCTGACTCCGCCCGTGTCTCGGCCAGGGCTTAATTACACGGCCAGCAAGTGGGTTAAACACGGCCGTGCTTCGCGTTGGACACAGCCGTGCTTTGGTGGAACACGGCCGTGCTTCGGTGCCCGTGTTTGCAGCTGAATTGGCCAAACTGAGCTTGCTCTCGGCATAAAAAGCACGGCCAGCAGTACACGGCCGTGTAATGCCTTGGGTCTGCCCGTGTTTTGGCTCCAGCTCACCGAAATGACTTCCGAATGCCCCAAAACTCGCGGTTAGCCTTCCCTTTAACGCCTGGGACCTGAAACATGACAAAATAGCACAACCCGGCGTAAAATAGGCCAAAACACACGACTATACTCCTCAAACGGATAAGAACTAGGGGCGCAAACATGTGCATTTACATCGTTATCAAGCAGCATGACGTATACTTGGTGAATGAGGAGGTGATGGTGAGGGAGATGGTGAATTTGGAACACCTTGAAGCAGAAATCTGAGTTTGTTAAATTCTTCTCCAGTTAACTGCATGTTGAACACATTCCCATTTGAAGACTGATTAGCATTCCCATTGTTCTGAACAGACTGTGATTCCTGAGAAACATCATCTCCATCATTCACTGCTCCAGCAAAACGAGCATTGGCATTTCCAGGTTGCCCTTGATTCTTTCTCTTCAACCTCCAACAGTCATTGATGTTATGATTAGTCATTTTGCAGTATCTGCAAAACAATCCAGTTTCACTGGTAACTTCTTCCTTGTTGGGTCTCTGAACTGGTCTATTGTTCAGCATTTGATTCTGCCCTACTCCCTGAGCATTAGGCCTTTGACCAGACTGATTTCCATAAGCAGCTAATGCAACTGACTGAGAACTGCCTTTTCCTTTATCAGCCCTCAGTTTTTGTTCATGTTGTAACAGATCTGCATAAGCTGCTACAACTGTAGGTAATGGTTTCATCATAAGGAGATGAGTCTTAACGACATCAAAGGTTGGTGCAACTCCTCTGAGAAACCTAACAAGATAATCTGTTTCATGTTTTTCCTTGAAGGCCTCAACTGCTGGGCAAAGCCTGGCCTGTCCAGGAGCACAATCACAAGGAACAATGGGATTGAACTTTGTGTACTCTTCCCAGTAACCTTTCATAGTGGTATAGTACTCTGTAATAGTAAGATTCCCTTGTTTACAAGCATGAATTTCATCTTCCAAGTTAGTCAACTTGATAGCATTGGTCTGTCCAAAACGATTCAGCAATTCATCCCACAGAGATTTAGCAATTTCATGACTCTGCACACTTCTCTTAATTTCCTTATGCAAGGAATTCATAATCCAACACAAAACGACAGTATTACAAGCATTCCATGCTCTAAAACCATTTGGATCGGTTTCCATATCAGGAATGGGTACTGACCCATCAATGAACCCAAGCTTATACTTGGTCTTAAGTGCAATCCTAATAGATCTAGCCCACATCTGGTAATTGCTTCCATCCAAGACTTCAGAAACGATGGACTGTGAGAGATTCTCATTAGGGTTTTGATAAAAGGGGTTACCAAAGATAAACTCTGATGAAGCATTTGCAGATCCTCCACCAGGGTTTGTTGTTGAGGTGTTTGAGCTGACGCCAGAGTAAGGTGACGCTTCTTGTGACATGGTTTATGCTGTTGCTGCTCTCAGAAGAATGAAGCTGCCGCCATGGCAGAGTGACGCTCTGATACCATAAGAAAAGGAAAGAGAAACTAATTTGGGTGGATGAGAGCAGCAGAATTGCTACCTCACCTCTTTAGGGTTTTTCATTTTATATAGAACTCAACGGCTAATCAACAGTGATTAACCAACATTCAAATCCAATTAACCCGCACAAGACACGTGGCTAATATGGATTCGCTTATTACAACAAATTCTGTATTTAACAGAGTAAAGAATATAACAAAGTAAAACGGCGTCGCATGGTAAAATGCTAGCCTAGTTCCAAACTTGTATTTGCTTCCACTTGAGCCCATCATCTTTGTGTTGCTGACACGAGCCAATCCTTACTGCACTCGGATTGCTGTGCATCACAGCCATTGCTGCAGTCCTGATTCCTCCTTTGTCTTCTGATATGTTCATTCCTGTTTGCAGTATAAGGTAGGGACTGGGGAGAGTAAGAGGGTCAGAGGGTCATCAAAAGGGTTGAAAATGGACGAGACCCTCAACTACTGAACAGTTTCTTTCGTGGCTGGTGGTCGTGAGGGATGAGTTTAATATTGGATTGCGTGGGTTTGGACAAGGAAACGAAGACACCATCTTCACAACTATGGTTGGGTTTAAATTAGATTAACCGGAATAGTGGTGATTGGTTGTCAAGAGTTTGATGCAGAGTTCGTAAGAGTTAAGACGATCTCTAACCAATTGTTTGTCAAGAGTTTTAGAGTACCAACTGGACGATCTCTAACCAACTGGGTTTAAATTATAATCTTATTTAACAGGGATTTTTATTGATTATTTTCCTAACAAGAAAAAGGAGAAAAACAAAATTGAGAGTAAGAAAACTACTGTAACGCAAAATCCCTTTCAACCTAGATCACAATCCAATCTGCTATAACTGTGGGCGTTAAGAACCTCTCTTTCCAAACTCGTCAATACCCTTTGTAAAAACCAAGGACTATTCCTCTTCCACTTACAAAGTTGCAGAACAGAGCATAAGACTAACTATTTAAATAGGATGAAAACGACGAGTCGTTGAGAGAATCAGTCGTTCTTCAACTGCAGGATAGCGCCAGTAATCTTGCTCTATCAAGCATTTCGTTTGTGAAGACTTTCCAAATCTGCAAGCTTTAATTTCGCATAACAAGAGTTAGTCCAGCTAAAACAATTTGCCAATATAATGGTTTGAAAATCTCCAACCCGCTTAGTGGATCAGCTAGCTTGCTAACCCCGGTATGGAAAAATGACACCTATTAATTATAGTTAATTATGGTATTAAATTCGTGTTACATTTAATAATCTTTGGAAATTAAAAACTCATATTAATTACATTCCTTTTTTTGAACTACCATTGCACTGATACAGCTATCATTGCACTTGTACTCTAAAGTCATATTAATTGCATTTCTTTTTTTTGAACTACCATTGCACTAATACAACTACCATTGCACTTGTACACTGATATCATTGCAATGGTAGAACTACCATTGCACTGAAAAAAGGAAAGTAGTTAATATGAGTTTTGAATTCATATAAATTATTAAATGCAACACAAATAAATTACCTTAAAAGCCTATAATTAATAGGGTGTCATTTAGGGGTAGTCATACTATCTCATCCCCGCTTAGTATAGGAATTACTTTTCTAACATTACAATCTTATGTTGATGTGATCTTAAGTCTCTGCTATTAGTTTGGTGGTAATGAGATGTGCCAACATTCTAATGTTAATGTTCTCTAGCCATGTGGGACGCTACTATAAATTTGATAAGAAACACAACCAGTTACACTAACCAAATTTGTTAAATCTTTTTAAATTAAAATATTCAGGAAGCTTAAATTTGAAAAATCATTGGACTTTTCCACCACGGTTAGCTAGCCCACTAACTCTCCCGTAAATATTTTTTATTGGTATTTGATACTCTCTTATATGACATTTTATTTATTCTAATTCGAGTTTAAGAATTAATTTCTTTTCATTGTTTTATAAAAGGAGGATAATTTTAAATCGCAACCCAAATGTCATTGGTTCAAATATTGTATATCGAATTGCACTATTGAATGTGCAAAAGTGATGTAGAATTCTTAACATAGACCTAATTTTATAACTACCACAAAGCAACGATATTTTTTAACACAAAATTTTTGGATAAATATAGGGCACATGTGTCTTTAATTGAGGAGTAAATATGGAAAAGTTGAGTGATATTGGTTTTTCGAACACAGATAGAAAAGACACTACTAATATAAACGGGCCTAATTAGTGCCCCAACCCACTAAACGAATCGCCATCTCTCCAAACTTCCCATCAGATTCAACAACCGGCTAACCTCCTCCATCTCTATTGTTATGCCAGAGCAATTTTCAGAGGGGCAAATATGAAGAGCTTGAGTGTTGTTGGTTTGTCAAACGCAGATGGAAAAGACACTACTAATGTAAACAGACCCAAATAGCTACTCAGCCCACTAACAATCAACCATCACACTTACTTTCTTATTTACAGGAAAAAAAATACATCAGTAATTGGATTTAAACTATGGTCTGTTTGAAAAAAGACAAGAAACATAACCAGTTACACTAAACAAATTTGTTTAATATTTTTAAATAGAAAACATACAAGAAGCTTATATCTAAAAAATAATAGGAATTTTTCACCATGGTTAGCTAACACACAAAATCTCCCATAAATGTTCTTTTGATACTTTTATTTTCATATTTTGATTATTCTAATTCAAATTTAATAATTAATTTTATTTATATTTTTATAAAAAGATAATAATTTTAAAATCGCAACACTAACGTCATTGGTGCAAATATTGCTTATCGAATTACAAATTGAATGTATAGAAGAGATTCAGAATTCTTAACATAGACTTAAATTTTATAACTAACATAAAACAACAATATTTTTTAACATAGAAGTTTTTAGTGAATTTGGTGCACATGAGTCTTTAAGAGATGGTAAATATTGAAAGATTGAGTGATGTTGGTTTGTTGAACGCGGATGAAAAAAGTGCAACTAATGTAAACGGGTCCAAATAGTGTCTGACCCACTAAAGGCTCAACCATCGCGCTTACTTTCTTATTTACGGGAAATATACATCATTAATTGCATTTAAACTATGGTCTGTTTGAAAAAAGACAAGAAACATAATGAGTTACACTAAACAATTTTTTTTAATGTTTTTCACTAAAAAACATACAAGAAGCTTGTATCTAAAAAATCATAGGAATGTTTCACCATGGTTAGCTAACCCATAAACTCTCCCGTATATATTCTTTTGGTATTTGATACATTTATTTTCATATTTTGATTATTTTAATTTTAATTTAATAATTAATTCTATTTATATTTTTATAAAAGGAGAATAATTTTAAAATCGCAACACTAATGTCATTGGTGCAAATATTGCATATCGAATTACAATATTGAATGTATAGAAGCGATACAAAACTTTTAACATAGACTTAAATTTTATAATTAACATAAAACAACACTATTTTTTAACACAGAAGTTTTGAGTGAATTTGTTACACATGTGTCTTTTAGAGAGGTAAATACTGAAAGATTGAGTGATGTTAGTTTGTTGAACGCGGATGAAAAAGGTTCAACTAATGTAAACGGGTCTAAATAGTGTCCCGACCTACTAAATGCTCAACCATCGCCGTCTCTCCAAACCTTCCCACCGGACTCGACTACCGCCTAACCTCCTCCACCTATATTTTTACGCCAGAGCAATTTTGAACAGTGAATGCATTCACCACGACAAGCGAAAGCGGTGAATGCATCACCGCGGTTGACGGTCGCGGTTAATGTCTGACGTAACATTGAAACTTCAAACAAACGTAACTTTGTGCTCGGTTATCCGGTTTTAGCGAATTGTTTATTGATTCCACATAACTCTTCAAGATCTTTCAATCTACAACAAGCCTTCATCCCAAATAAAATTTGTGTGCTACCCCGAATGAGCAATTTTTCGATTTTGACAAACTTTGGAAGACCATAACTTTGTGCTTCGCAATCCGAATAACATGGAACTTTTTTTAATTTCGCATAACTTTTGAAGGACTACAACTTTGATCATAACCATATTTTTGGAATGTATGTGGATTTGTGAAAAGTAAAGGCAACGTTATTCCCAAAATCCCGTATACATAAAAATATATTTTTTTAATTCTTTACTAGTAAAAGTTGTAGTTCTTAAAAATTTATGCGCAATAAAAAAAAACTTACGTTCAGATTGAGGATCTAAAAGTTATGGCCTTCCAAAGTTTGGAAAAATAAAAAATTGCTCGTTCGGGGTAACAAACGACATTTTTTTGACATGAAGGCTCGTCGCAGATTGAAAGATCTTGAAAAGTTATGCGGAATAAAAAAAATCGCTACAATCGGATAACCGAACGCAAAATTACGCCCATTTAAAGTTTCGGTGTTAGGTCAGGCATTCACCGCGACCGTCAACCGCGGTGATGCATTCACCGCTTTCGTCTGCCGCGGTGAATGCATTCACTGCGGTGGTTTGGGATAGGGTCAGTAACCAATGGTTACTGACCTATCAGTAAATACACGGGAACCGTAGATATGGGGATGGAGCAATCGGGTGGTTGGCTGGACACGGAGGTGGGGAGGGGCATTTTTGTCCGTTTTTGTATTTTTACTTTTTTATTTATTTATTCCGCATTTCAATGTCTGACTTTTCAATGAAAGAGAAAGAATAAACTTTTCTCTGCAACTCTATTTTCTTCTTTCTCTCTTGCTTCTCTCTTCCTTTTTCCAATCTCTTACCACACTATACCATATGGTATTGGGTGGTAACGGTATGATCTTATTTAATACCAGTCAATACCATATGGTATGACTGGTAATAACTGTGAAATTTTTTTATGTCCAAAAAATATCAAAGTGGATATCATTTTGAAGAGCACAATTAATCTGATCTAACTGTGTCAAAAAAAATAAATTCCGACTTAAAACGAGTGAGAAATCATCTGTTAAAGATTAAGAGAATGAAAATTAAAGGTTTTTCGAGGAGAGAGGAGGCGCTGACGTGGTCTGGTCAAATGTCAGGATTGGCAATAAATAGGGGCAAGGGCAATTTTATTTTACTGTCCTTTCACATTTAATTTAAATAAAAAAAGGGACTGACACGTGGAGACAAGGGAAGGGGTTACTGATGGGTTACTGACCCATCAGTTACTGACCTGATCTGGTCCCCACTGCGGTTGACAGCCGCAGTGATGTCCAAACATGTGTATTTTATGAAATTTTTTTATAACATGTGTATTTTGAGAAATTTTTTTTTAAAACATATGTATTTTGAGATTTTTTCCCCGTTACTAGTGGGTTTGTCTTTCTGGTCACTGTATGGCAAATTTGATTATAATGTTCAATTGTTCATCATATTGGCTTCACAGCATCACAACCCTTCAACGGGCTTCATCCGCATCACCGAGTAATTTGAATTTAACATTCTGGAATTTAATGTTCGCAGCCATTAAGAGAAGTGTGCAGAGTCATGAAATTGCTAAATCTCTGTGGGATGAATTGCTGAATCGTTTTGGACAGACCAATGCTATCAAGTTGTTCATCATATTGGCTTCACAGCATCACAACCCTTCAACGGGCTTCATCCGCATCACCGCGTAATTTGAATTTAACATTCTGGAATTTAATGTTCGCAGCCTACATGTTGTCTGGGCGGGCTACTGACTTTGAACAAGGGATTTCCAGCTCTTTAATCTTGCTTTCCTTCCACCTTGCCTAATTAACCAGCCCCTGCCTCGACGACACCATAAGGTTGGGTGAAGCTCGACGACAACTATGCACCCAGTCTTCGTCCACCTCCATAGAAGGCTTGTCCGTGATGCGTCCCAGCATCTAACAATTTGGCTGCTTGATTGCATAAACCGGATGGACTTTAATTCAATTGTATGTGTTGTTGACTAGGAATAGCAAAGGCAGGTCCGGGCCGGATATCTCGATACATATACCCGCCTGTGGCAGGTTGGGTAATTTATTATGGACGCGGGTCGGGGCAGGTATGCCCAATGGATATGTAATTTATGTGAAAAACTTTAAAAATATTCATTATTTTCATTAAAAGACCAAGAAATAAATCATAATATGATAAAATGTAGTTAAAGTATTAGAGAAATTGAGGTTTTCACTTATTTACTATAGCTAAAATATGAGGTAATATGAGGAAAATTCTAAGTAATTTGACTAAGATTATATGTAATTTAGGCAAGAGCGGGTCGAGAATGGGGCGGGTCAGGGCAGGTCGGGTCGACTAGAGGTACCCATACCCGTCACAAAATAAGCCAAACAGGTTGGGTAAAATGGGTCAGGTCGAAATTGTCATCCTATTGTTTGACGTGAGAATTTGGATATACAACCAATAGCTTATAGCTGAAACTACAAGCACTTTCAGTTTCAAGTCAAGTCCCTATTACTATCAATCATTACTAACGAGCCCTGGCAATGGCGTTATCCAATCTCTAGCTATAACATGAACCATCAGTCTTATTCTTTCCTATGCTACAAAATGGATCAAACAAAACAGCGTACGTATTATAGACATCAGCCATGCCCAAACCTCACAAGAATCCCTAACGGAGAGTCCATCCATATCAGTACATATATCATTCTCTACCTTCCTAATGCTCATTGCTCGCAACCACCACCTCTATCTCTCTTTCTATCACCACTGAGCCATAGTTGTCACCACTAACGACACCATCAATAAGAACCCTCTTCTAGCTGTACTGCCTGCTATAACATAACCATTGCCAAAATTCAACATCATAAGCAACATGCTGCAATTCCTAGACAAAACTTAGAAACAGTAACGAAATTTGGGTATCTTCGTTTTACCTTGATTCTTCGCGCCATCGTTCTGGGACAGCACAGGCGTTGGAGATGGAGGGCCTTGAACCGTGATCCCTAGATCCTTGCAATCCATCCCCACCGCACCTGCAATTTTTTTTTTTAATCCAAAATCGTATCGAATCGGATATCAAGAAAAAGAACACTTACATTCTTTGTAGCAAGGGAAGAGTGAAGTGTTGAGAAGGTTATTGTATCCCTCTGAACATACGCAACTATAGGTGAACAATGATGTCTTGTTGCAGGATCCCCCTCCACAATCTGCCCAGTTACATGCTGCCACAAACCAAGAAAAGAAAACTCCTAAAACTAAGCCCAGAGTATGAATATGTGAAAAGCTCTCTAGTTCCACAGAAATAAGGGTTTGTAGTTCTTACGGTCGAGAAGTGTGGTATTGGACTTTCCGGACTTGTCTTGAACCGGCGCCTCTGCTGGTTTATTGCACGAAAAATCCATGGAACCTGCGTTTTAAAAGCAATCAACCAAAACCCAATTACTATTTCCCCCTAATTGAGAACATTGATTCAGAAAGAAAAGGAACTGACAGTTGGGGACAATGCAGGGGAGGAAATTGAGGAAGGTGATGTTGTCCATGGCGTCGGGTCGGGTCTGCTTCCACCCGGCGTCGCATTCGCATTCGTACGGAGGGATGGTGGAATTGGTCAGCGGCTTACACTTGCCTCTCCCACATTCCACGTTCTCACATATGTTGCCTACAAAGATGAAGGGGAAAAAAAACCCAGTAAATCTCGAATCTTTTTGTCAGAGGAGAAAAACCCAGTCCAGCAGTAATAGGAAAGATGCGGAAATTGCGGGAACTGATTGAGAAGACGGTGTGAGGGGGCGACCAACCCATGATCGGAGCAAAAATTGAGGACAGCAAGTCGCCGGCGGTCAGCTGTGTTTGCAGGAGAACAATAGCGAGAAGAAGAAGAGTCGCAAGACGAGGGGAAGGAGTTGAACGAGCCATAGCTGTAAGGAAACACAGAGAATGGAAGAAGAGTTTTGGGAATTTTACAGGATTCGGCGGCAGTTGAGGTGGGTTTGGAAAAACAGGGGATTTAGAGGAGGGAAGATTTGAGTTGGAGCAAAAAAGTCTCCAAGAAGCATTAAAAGTTGGGGCCGGGCGGGGGTTCTTATTGTACTGTTGGGAAGATGGAAGATTTTGGGGGGAGCCGTGGCCGGCCTTGGAAAAAGACGGATTAATTAAATTCGGACACGCTCTTTCCCATATTTCATGATCTTGAATTCAATGTTAGGTATTGTGATAACTGAATCTGATTTAATTGGGCCGACAAGATCGTCGTGTTGGACTTCATTAGAGAGGGGAATGCTCCGTTATCTTTTTCATTATTATTTTGGCTTCTCTTGTTTTTTAAGACCATTTCAAGGTTATCAAACCGGTTTAACCAGGTGAAACAAATGGTTTGAGATTTATTGCGCAAATTAAAATTTTATTGGTTTAAACCATTTTATACATAATATAGGAATATATGCGTACATATGGTAGCAATTTAAGATCTTAATGCAATTTGATAGGTATCGTATAATAATTTAATAATGAGTATAGTATATGATCCTTTCCATGAGAGGTTTTGGAGAGGACCAAAATGCATAATGCTGTCTTTAGAGTCTGAAACTAGTCAATTCGGAGGAAGCTAAATTTTTGTGGATAATTTTGAAGACCGATTTTGATCGGACCTGGTCCAACAAACTGCCCAGACTATTGCTTGATAACACTGTATATTCGAGATAAATTGTGTATCATATAATATATTTGTTTCTATTTAGATGACCCCACTAACACCCCCTCAAACGAAAGCCAGTCAACTCATAATAGCTTTTGTTTGTACCGAACACGAGAATACATGTGTTTCACAAATGAGGTCACCGGGATTTGAACACAAGACATCCGCCCACAACAGGCTCTGATACCATGTCAAGAACCAGTTGGTCACAATAATTCGAATTGTTGGAAGAGTTTCAATCTTGAATCATATACCACTCACTAACAGTAACTCGGAACTAAATTGTCACTGCTATAATGTCGTAAGTCTCGCTGCAGGAATTAGTGATTGTTTTGTTTTTCAATTATTTGGACAAATCTCTATAAAAAAATTATTTGGACAAATGTTGTCAACCTGCGGGTTGACCCGGACCCGGCTGAGCTAGTGGGTCAAGGGTTAATGGGTCACCCGTTTTAGCCCGGGTTAGCCCGGAAATATGGAAAGCGTCATTACATTGTACTTATCTTGATAAATTATATCAAATCTCATCTAACATATGAGTTATAACATATAATATTACACCAAAATAACATTTCGTACTTAGATTCAATATATAGTGAAAATTCACTCACACTTATATAACATTAATATTCAAATGTTCAACTTAGGATTCAAAAGATTGAGTTAGGCGAAAAGAAAAATCAGAAAATAGGCGCATTTCGCAAAACAAAGAAAAAAATGACACAATTTGACCTCCAACCCGGTACCTTGTGGCGGTCGACCCGGCGGGTGCGTGCGGCCCTTTTTTTCACCGGGTCAACGTCAAAATGGGTCAACCTGCGAATCGACCCGCGGGTTGACAACCTTGATTTGGACTAAAATAGCATGTAGTTGTGATCCCCCCAGACCCACCGAGTGGAAATAAAGAAAGGGGGAATTAAGTGTAGAGATAGAGACTTGAAACTTCAATCCAACAACGCCTTAATTACATTTACTCCTCTTAATCTACTATACCTTTCACACTAGCTTTTACTTGGCTCTTGGCCCAATGAGTTTCGCTTTATCATTAATACTAGCATTGGGCCCGGCCCGTTGGCCGGTGGAGTATAAACCGGTTAGTGTATTTTCATTTTGTTGTACTATATTGGATGGTGGAGTATATAATACTCCAGAAGTATTACTCAAAGGCAAAGCAATTTCATTTATTAAATTCAACCATTCCCTGATTAGGCATTGGTTATAAGATCCATCTATATGATGCATTATGCTAACTTAATTATCATGAGTGTTTCCGTAAGAATTTCTTCCCATCACATCAACCAATTTGCAGATTGCAGCACTCTAATTCATGGTTGTTCTGCGGCTGGTAAAATGAATGAAGCCTTCAGATTGCGTAATGAAATGGTAAACTATGGTGCATTACCAAACATAACCACGTATAATGCCTTGTTGAATGGCTTGTGTAAATAAGGATAGATGAGGGGATTCAGATGTTGCCTTGGATTTGTGATAAAAAAATGTAAAAAAAGGAACTCATCCTTCCACCATTACATACATGCTATGATAAATGGTTTCTATAAGCAAGGAGACATTGGAAACTCTGTGAAACTATTGGATGAGATGACAAAAGTTTGTTGATCTCAACCTATCCCGTTAGTTGAAGATTGCATTATACATAGAGAAACAAAGAACATCTATAGGATTAATGACACAACACATGCCTAAAACCATGAAGTAAAAGCTAATGCATAACTTGATAAGCCCTGAGAAGCAATATGCCTACAGGTTGCAGCATCATAGTCACTGGGATTCAAATTGATATTGTCCAAAAGTGATGCACATAATTCCTACTGCCATGAAAAAGAGAAAATCTAACATGGAGTTGTGACAAATACATGTACAATAAACTGAGTCATAAGAGAGGTGAAAATATACTGAGTACTTAGATTGGAGTTGTTGCTTTCCTCCAGTATTGGAGTTGCCTCTGTGAGGGACTTACTTGACGCCTCATTCAATTGTTGTACTCAAATTAGAGTCATAAGAGAGCTTGAAAAAATAAAATAAAGTTGGTATCATTTACCTAAATGAATTTATTTACAACTGAAATGTTCTTCACCTCCCACAAATGGATCATGATCCACCCTAACCACATAATACTTACCCACTTTGAGGATTTGAGAAGTTTAACATGTAATTCGAGTCTCATATTAATAACTCGTTCGATTTGTGGAGGAATGGTTTTGTCTTCCTCTGAATTGATTGAAATAAAACATCATCCACAACTCCCAAGAAATGCAGACCTTCACGTTCCAAAATGGCAAACTCAGCTTCACCAGTATCATCTTTCAAATGGAGTTGCACTATGTATCTACAATGGATACATAATCAAATTGAACAAAAATCCCAAGTTCTTATGCCTCTTTCATAATGTGAAGTAATATCATAATTCCTATAACACTATTGGAAGGGATATTCCTAATATGGAAAACGAATCAGCTACTTTGAAATGTATTCAACTTAGCATCTAAGGCGGATAAGTCGGCAGCTTTTGACACACAAAACTATGGATACATTTCTGAAGGCTCTTACTTATGCCTCTTAGAGATCTTGCTAATTGCAGAAAAAGTTGGCCAAAATACATAAGAAAAAAAACTAAGAAAGGGATCTGTACCCGATGTATATTGGAACTGAAGACCGAAAGTTCACCACACAACAAAGAAATCATTCACAAAAGAAACTCAAGTTGTATAATAAAAACAAAATGAAACCGAGTAAAGTGAAGAACTTCATAATCTAAAAGCGCACGACTTTTGCTAATCACGTACTGCTTTTACTTCACAGAGTCGAGAAGTTGATTTGCTACATGCTTAGAGCTTAGAAGTAATTCAGTATAAGTAATATGGTAACTCAAATCATGCTATTGCTCATCACAAACTGTACTATTTCATTTATTTGTATCATGCTTAGAAGTTAGAACTAATGAAGTAAAGTGAAAGGAAACTTTACAACAGGCAAAGACTGAAAGCTCATCACACAACAAAGAACTCGTTCACAAAAAAACTCTAGAAGAATCTAGAAAGGGGGTCTACATCTCATCAAAAGCACACAACATCAGTACACCACCGCAAAAGCCAAAATACAAAGAACCCAAACTAAGGGAACTTACCGACATAGAGAATATAGCTCCGATTGTGCGCTATGCGAGGTAATTGATCAATCTCAATGGAATTCCGAAGGAAGCAACTTCTCGACTCTGGGCAGCGAGACAAATAGCGACACCAAGAGAGAGACATCATGTGAGTGACACACACAAACGACAACAGAGCATATGAGGGGAATTCCCAGAAGCGCCATCCAGTGACAAAACACCGACGACACAGAGCCAGGCGGCTCTGGGAGATTGAGAGCGGATAGCCAGGCGGCAACAAAGGTGGGGGGATAGAGAGCGGATAAAATATGCAGGAGGACTTAAAAGACCGAGGAATTGCAGAGTGGATCGGTCATTGCATTGGAACGGTGAGAGGGAGGCCTTCGATTCCGGTAGGATTGGAAGACAGAACGTGTTGGGACGAAGACCCTCCGCACTGTGCGGCGGTTGCAGCATAGGCTGACGTGGCAAAACCCATATCTTGACATTGGCTTATAGTATTTTGTAGATTGGTTAATTTATAATTATATTTAAAATATTAACCCGAATCGTTGGTTGTTTTTAAATAAGTTGAGGTTTCTAAAATAGTTAATTCATTATTTCATAGTAATTTTTATGGTATTTGCTGATTATGACATTACCAATAATCAGTTAATATGTACTTTTTATAAAGTCCTCCTAATTTACTGTTGTGTATTTTTTTCATATCTTAGAAGAAATTTGTGGATTTTTATTATCGGATATGAAGTTGGAGTTGAAAAAAATATATGTCATCTAGAATGGTAGGAAATGAAGGTATGTAAAAGAATCAAGAGAATAACGAAAAGATTATGCATAGAAATCTCAAATATGAAAGAACATGAAAACATAATGCTTATTGTATAAATTATTAGAATTTAGTGTACAGCCTTGATTGAATAATAATTCGAGGTTATTAAGTGTTAGATACTAATACACGTACAAAAGTTACGAAAATTTAACATTATAAAACCTTAGATTCTACTCTATCAATACAATCTTTGACTTTTCATGTGGAGTTAATAGCATAAATTGTCACTCTATTATCCATTTTTCTCAAATCTATCCCTTTTATTTTTCACATCAAACATGTCCTAGTAATATATAGTATATAGGTATTATCAAATTAAATTTAATCTCTTTTATAGCTTATCTTATCCATCTGCAACTCCCAATAATTAATAGCCACAATCTCATCATCCATCTGTCCCGCTTTCTCTTCCTTCGACCAACAATAATTAAACGCAAAAACTTGTCCGTCACGAAAGAACCTTGAAGACCGACTTTTGAATTTCAACCACTCTCTGAAAAGTCCACAATTATTGATCGATTTAACTCAATCATAAAAATTGGAACCCAAAATATTTAGAATATATGGATTTCAAGTATCAAAGGTTGTCAACCTAGTTTAGCCGGTTGGCCCAGTCAATTAAGTGGGTTGAGGGTTAATGGTCTAATTGTTTTAGTCTGCTTTTGTCCGAATATATGAACAAATTATTATATTGTTCACATATTTATAAATTATATAAAATCTCATCTACATATGAATAATATTCTTCCTCGACCAGACTATCTACATTTGTTTCTCTATCTGCTATTTTCTGCTATCCTCATTCGAGCTCCTAAAATGCACTCCAACAACATGTATTCGCCACGCGATGAAGGTCACACTCCTATGGTGGCGATGTGTGTTAGAAGTGGAATTAGTGAGTAACGACCAAGTGGAAATTGAGCATGGAGTGTTTGGGAGGGAAGACAATATGTGATGGAAGGCGAGTTCTTCCAGTAGTCTCTTTGATAACATAATTGACTTGACAGATTTATCTTAGCAATTCACGGAGCGGGAGCTAGAGCAAGAGCTAGAATGGGAGCGTAAGAATGTATACTCTTCAAGAATTATAATTTGAGTAGCCAAAAATAGCGTGAATATTATATTATTTTAATTAATATATTATTTAACTTACTAACATGTTTTTGGTAAAAATATTACATCAATGCAGTGGAAAAAATAAAATCATTTTAATAGAATAATAGCTGTAAATAATCTAATTAGACCCGAAAAAGAACAAACTACAAAAGGTGAATAGAAACCCAAAAAAGTTTACGATGCTATTTTGTTTTATTTTTTAAAAAATGAAAAGAGTATATATTTTTCTTCCCCTTCGATTCTTTGTTTCCTAAGCCGACTCTGGAGATCTCCTTTAGATGTACCAAATTGACAAATTCTATATCATCGGCTATCTAACTAACCTCCCATCATTTTATTCGGCCCCAAGCCCGTGATTTGATGATCTATTTCACAGTTTCATTCACAAACTCGTAGTGTATCCTTTTCGTCTTTGCTCTCCAGATCTCTGACGGTACCGCATGTATTTCTTTCTCCCACGAAGAAGCAGGTCATTGTCTTCGAGCCAAAGCTGTTGATTTGGCTATAACTTGTTTCATTTTACTTTGTTTATAAAGAGAGAAATCCCTCAAATAAGTGATATATGAAATAAAATTTGCGAACATTGAATTTCGATGCACTGATTTTTAGTTTGAGCAATAATTTCTGGATTTTGGAAGTTTGTAGTTTTTGTAAAATAGTTATGAAGCAAAAATATAATTCCTACTTTAATTTTCGTTGTAGAAAATTGGAAATGAGACAACAATTTTCTCATTTTAGTATTATATATTGTGTAGAGTGTATATAAAGAAATGTCTTTTCCCTACAAATTCATTAGCACATTGAAAAAAGGGAAATGAACCAACTTATTAAAATCCTAATGATTGTTGGATCCAATCATGCCAGAATAGGAAAAGGTTTAAAATTTGACGGTTAGCCGAACTAAAATGTTCAAAGAACCAGTCCCATATAGTTTACACAAAGATATGAATACGATTGTGTAATTGTAGGTCTAGAAATTAATTATAATTTAAGAATTATACATCACTTTTACATATTCAACACTGCAATTTGATATGGAATATTCGAACCAATGATATCTGGTCCGTGATTTTATAGTTATTCTCTATTTATAAGATACATAGGAATTTAATTAAGTATTGAATAATAATTAAAATAAGGAATTTAGCCTTTGTTAGTCACCTAAAGTTTCAACTCAAATGCATGTTTCTTAATAATTTTTCCTTCGTATTTGTTTTAGATGCGGTCAACTGGCTCTATGATTGTGCAGCTGGAGAAAAATGAAATTTGCTATTGCGGGATTATGATAGATTTTGAGATGGTTGGGTCGTGTATTGTAGGCTCTCAAATCTTGTGAGGTGGTTGTTCTTCGTCTAGTTCATCAGCCACCAATTTGTAAGCAGATTTGAGCCGAAATCGTCCATCTTACTCCGAGCTCCAAAATGTTCGATCCTCGCCAAGATCAGCTTTAGGTGTTTCCATCCCTACAATCAAAGCAATAGTATCATCCAGAATGAGATCTTTCAATCTGTTCCAATCCCACTCACCTGAGTCTGTCACCCAGTCTGCTAAAGCCGAGCAATGATCCTCCTCGGAGATTGTAGTGGTGAGGAAGTCCTCAAGCACAATGAGATTCTCATAATATTTTGTTATAGTTTGGTTACATTACTCCAGGCTGGTAAGAGCTTCATTTAGCTTTGCAGTTGTGACCATTTCTCTTTACCCATATCTTGCTCTCAGACTTCTCCAAGCTTCATAAGCAGAGTTTAAACTCGAAAGACAATATGGTCTTTCTGGTTCCAAGATTCATTGCCGGCGAATTCAAGTGAGGACCATGATGTTATTTATGCTACAAGGCGAGGCCAAAGTACTGTCATCTGCAGGCTCTCACAGAGTTTTTTTTTAAATACAATATATTAGTCATAACTATTAAGCAGCGGGGAATTATAGCCATAACTATCGAAATACAAATGATTACTCCTGTATGCTAAAGCCCTTTACTGTTTTCAAATTTTTAACGGAGAAGGCCAAGTCAGCATCGTAAAAAATATGATATGATGACTGCAACGTGGGAGCCAGCTCAGCATCGTAAAAGTTTAGTAATCATTACTAACAGAAGTGTTACGAAAACTTAACGGTTGGCTAATAATTTGTATTTCGATAGTTGTGGCTATAATTCCCCGCTACTTAATAGTTATGGCTAATATATTGTATTTACCCTTTTTTTATAAAATCATACTTGTGTTTGGTCCCAAAGCGGTATACATGGTATACTATGAAAGATTGTTACAGAGAAAACAAAAGGATGCAAACTGAATTCAAAACAAGCATACAAAGATGAACAACAAATGATTGAAACACAAGCCGTGCCTGAAAGATACATTGTGAAAGAGCAAAGCAAAGAATCTGAACCAACCACCAAAAGATCAAAAAACTTGGTCCAAAAACATAGCATCCAAAATCTCTCTAGTATCTTATGAGATTATTTTGGGTTTGGGATTAATAAGTCTAGGATTTTTTTAATTATGGGTTTGATTGTTGGTTACGTAGCTTTTGCATGGGCCAATTAGTATGTTATGTTAGGGCCGAGTTAGATTAGTAGGAGACTATGTTAGGTTGACGAGTAGGGCTAAGTTAATTAGTAGGGTTCGGGTAGTGCTAAGGTTAAGTATTAGGTTTTTCTAGCCTATCTATATATATATATATATATATATATATATATAAGTTCGATATATATTCCAGTTATCGAATAATAAAGTAAAGATTTATCAACACTAATGTCGTTCTCTCGCTTGTGAGTTACAAGCAAAACTCTTGAACTGTGTGTAACTATTCATTAATTGGTATCAGAGTCTGGTTATTCATCCTACAGGGGATGGGTAGCACGACTGCTTTCTAGCTGTCAGAGACAGAGACTAAGCTTCTACGGTCGATGATTGCAAACGCAAAGTATTGCCTCTAGGAATGGCAATGGGGCAGGTCCGGGGCGGGTTTCTTGGTACCCAGACCCGCCCCGTGGCAGGTCGGGTAATTGATCACGGGTCGCGGGTCGGGGCAGGTTGACCCAATGGGTATGCAATTTATATGAAAAACATTAGAAATATTCGTTATTTTTATTATAAGA